GCAGGGACAGGGAACAATCTCTCCCCTTATGTCTTTCAAACCCATCTGGGCTGAAAGCACTACATGTAAAAGCTGTATATTTTGGGGTTCTGTGACTATCAATAAGAAACTGGCGCAGCTTCTCCCTCATTCCAAAGAGGCATAAAAACAGAGCTGAGGGTTTGTTTTGTTTTCCTCTCCATTTTGCGATAAAACAGGAGATGGGGGCAATAGTGACCCCACCCTTCCTCTGCATGTTAGCCCCTTCAAGGAACTGCAAAGCTAAGCCACCCTGGGCTTTCAGTTCAGCATTTGCTTAATTTTATCGCAGGACTTTACATAGCTCCTCTCAGAACACAGCCATACACATCTGCAAAAAACACATTTCATTTTTGGGCTCAGTGTTAAAATGTATGTTAAGCTTGCCAGATGAAGTAACCCATGGCTGAGCCTGTGCTAATTACAGTAATGGTAATCACAAAGAGCAAAACATGAGCAGGGTAATGGGATGTGCTAAGACCAACACCAGGGTGTGATCCAAAGGAAAGCTCCAGGCGATGCTCAGCTGTGAGGGACAGGTGGAAGTCGAGACCTCCTTTGAAGTCAGGTCCACTTCAGGGTTTGCTTGTAGCCTGGTCTGTTGTTCAGGGCAAGCAGGTTTGCTGCACAAGAGGCAACAGTGTGATGCCTTCTTAAACCTTGTGTAATGTTAGGCTTGCAGAGCAATAAATGAGCACAAAGTTGAGCAGTTTTTCAAATAAAAAGAATAGCCTCCAAACATCAGGTTTCTTCAGACAACCAGAGAGGAAGGTCTTTGAATTACTCCAAAAAATAGTGTGAATTTCCAAAGGAAGTGTCCATCACTCCGCTAGCAGGGGAAGCACAAATGCCTGGCGACTCACTGGACTCTGCAAGGGTGAGAGGGATGACAGGGCTGTGTACCCCCGCCGAGCCCACTCTCAACACACTGTGGTGAGATGAGCTGGCCGGGACGAGCCGGGGGGAGGACACGGCACAGGGATATTCCCGCGGACACAGGCTTCCTGCTGAAGAAGCCGTCCATGCCTCTCATGAGCATCTCCTCCCGCAGCTCCAGCAGCAGGCAGCCACTGCCCGGGCTGGGGATGCACCCGGCCCTGGCAGCCGCCGTGCTCGCCCCGGCTGTGATTCAGCGGAGTCGAAGTGGGTGTCAGCAGAGAGCTAGGCAAGCACAGGGTCTTACCTCATCTGAGAGTAGTAGCTAAAATAGGTCAAGTGAATCACACCCTAAAAATGCCTGTTTCTCTCTGTTGGCTGTCAAGGGAAACGAGGGTGACTAGCTCAGCTGTAGACTCCTACACTGCACAGATCAAGGGCAGAATTCAGTTAAATTTAGGCATCTAAATGATGTGAGCCTGGTATGTAACAGCTTATTATGACCAGCTGATGGCTGGTTGCTGCAGGCAGTGGAGCTGAGAGAAGGGTACAGATCACCATGGAAGTGACATCCAGTGACTCTCCGGACAGCCTGTGCCCTCATCTCCACTCACCTGATGGCTCTGTGTTGGATACAATCTGACACAGGTAAAGACACAGGTGTTTAGATGTTTATATCAAGTGTCCAAAGGCTGGAAAATACCTCCATTGTAACAGCAGAGATAAAAGCACTTGCATGCTTTTTTTCAGTGTGTTATGGCAGTGAAATCTGGGAACCATCACAGAAAAATCTGGAGAGCCCAAAGTGTAGGGGTGTGCAGGAGAAGGGGAAGGTGTCACAAGCAGCTCTCTGCTGGGATGTCCTCCCAGCTCTAGGGCCTCATCACACTGTGCTGCTCCTGCTCTGCCATGGGCAATCGTTTTATCCCCCAAGAACAACACTGAGAGTGCTCTGGGCAAGCTCAGCTCCTGAATGTCAGGTCGAGCTCCATGGGGCAAGAAACCTTTAACATGCTCTGACAGGTGACTTAAGCAACCTGCCCCAAACAGTATGTCCAGAGACCACGCTTGTATTAGCTGGTACCACAGGCTCAGATCACAGCTGATGTGCACAAAAACGCTGCTACGGTCCCTTCAGGGACCCTTCTGGTCACCCTTTGCACATTTTGGCTACAAGCATTGGAGACAATTGCACAGCAGAGCTGATCCAGCTGTACAAAGAGTTTTGCTGTTACGCACAGATTTATTTTTCAGCCATACCAGTCCCATAGCCAGGTTTACCCAATGGCTACAAAAACTCTTGCTTTGGACAAGAAAAGATGTTCTCACAACAGCATCACCTTAAGGACATGTTGGGCTCCTGCCTCAACTCACTTGACCTGACATTCCTAAGTTTCCACTGCATTTCTGAAAAGCAGGAGGCTGCCGCCCACAAGCACCAGACTTAGTTCAGAGACTGATGTGAAGCACATCAAAAAGCAACAGGATTCTTTCTCTTGGTACTGGTGGGCTTTAGCTACAGGCTGCATTCCTTCTAAGGTGTCCCACAGTAATACATCTCCAGTTTCTGTAAGAGTGCTGGGTTTGAAACAGTGTCTAGCTGAGACCTGCACTGCATTGCATTTGACGATTTAAGCATACACACTTGCCCCAGAGCTACAGGATTGTCAGAATAGGTTCAAGCAAAATTTCTGCAGTCTTAACATGCCAGTTGGTTTGCTCAGGCATATTTAAAAACAAATACTTATAAAAGAAATGTGTGCGTATTAAGATGGGGGTAGGGAGGGGTGTGTGGGGAAGGGAGTGTGGTTAAAGCACATGATTAGGATTACAGAAATAATGCTTTGCAACTTGTCACTTAAAATCTCTTTGCCTGTTTCCCAATGTGTGAAATTCAGTAATTAATTCTTGTCCACATTTATTAAGCACTCCTTCAACTCTGATGAAAAGTCCCCTATGAGCATTAAGTAGTATTACATCCAGCTACCCTGAGCTGCCACATTCAACAACTTCTGCTGTTCAATTCAAATAGGCAAAAAATTTAACATAATTTCATTAATGAGTCATTCAGAATTTAATCCTGTTTTCTTTTAAACCAGATTTTACATATTTTTTATTTCTGGTTGACTCCAAAGAGCTGACACTGGGAACATACTTTGATTTGTCTATTCTCTACCATGATATTGTTTTGTTTCCCCAGCCAAATGATTAAAACATTTTTCACAGAGGAATAAATAATCATATGGGTATTCCCTTTTGTCTCATTTTTTGTGAGCTGAACATATATAGCAAAAGGTTTCCCTGCCAGACCACATTTTGCAGAAGTTTCACAAGCAGTTTAAGGCCATATAAATGAGATGAGCCATTAAGAGCACAGACTCCTTCTGGCCCTTCACTCCATTGCTGCCGCAGCCGTACCTGAAGCCAGTGGCTTCTTAAAGTGACTCTGTGATTGTGATCAAAATGGAAAAAACCCATTCTTGCCTTTTTTAACCAGTCCCACAGTTCAAGCCGATAACTGGTCACTCAGCTTCTTTACTCCTCACTTTCCTTACCCATAACCCATGTTAACACTTCCATACACACAGGTGGTTTCAGTAAGTTTTCCCATGAACAGCAAGAAAAAACTGTCTGAATTGGAAAGACGTAAGGAAAAAGTGGTTTGGATTTAGTTCACAGACCTGTGCTAAGAGTATGGAAGATGTAAAAATAGATTTACAGCTTAATTGTACACTGTACCTCTAGGATTAAATCCTCTAGGTATCAATCCAAAAGCTTCCATCTCAGGAACCTCATTCTCTTCATCATTGGAGTAGTTTGGTGGGATGGCTCTTCTCCCATTCAAAGGAAGTTTATTCTCCTCATTGGTGCTCGTTGTTTCAGACATCCTGTGCTAAAAAAAGTTGCAATAGCATGAAAGAAAGAGCTCAAGGAAAAAGCAAACATGAGCTAGCATGGCACGTGCAAGATGGGAGAAGCCAAAGGCAATGTGGGGTGCCAGCGAGCTACACATTTTTAGACTTACATAAATAAAACCTGAGAGGCAGAAAACATCAGTCTAATGATAAGTATGGCTCTCTAAGGATTGGAAGGCATTTTGTGTTCATCAAAACACATGAATAAGAGAAGAAGGAGGGGGCGGGAGAAGGAGAGGGAAGTCTAACACAGAAGTATTGCCTAGGAGAAGCAGGGCACTAAAAACATTAGGAAGTTTCAGGTAAAAGAACTGGAAAATCTTTCACTCTCTCATCCTCCATAAAAGCATTATTGAATCCAAAATAGCAAATTATATTTTCAGAAAGTGCATCACACACTACCTCTCCCTAATAAAAATGACATTATAAGTCATACTGCAATCAAGCCAAATATTACAGCCTACAACAGTCTGTGGATAAGTGGAGAATTGTATTTTTGTCCTTATGCACACAAACATCCAATATCTACAGGGCTAACTCCTGCACCCAGACAATCCACTTTTGAGAAGAAGAGGGGGAGGGGGAAGAGAGATGGGGGTAAAGAGGAAAAAAGGAAAAGAAAAAAAGCACTTATCCACTTATTTCTCTCCCACTAACATCCTTAAGGGAAATCTTAGATGTAGGCTGATCAGAGACTTCTTTTTGAGCTACTCAAAACTGCTTTCACATCTATTTCAGTGTAAGCATGTAGCAGTGAAAAAGCCATGCAACCCTTCTAAGAAAATATTAATGACTGAGAAGAAAACTTCTTCCCAAAGCCCCTGAAAACAGCAATTTAAAATGTAGCAATTATTTAATAGAGGTAAGGTCTACCAGGAAGTTTTTTCAGTTATCAAGGGTACCTTCTTTTCAGATAGCCTTTTTTTTTCTTCTCCCTTGCAGAATTTCTGCAGTGCAATGGAAGCAGAGAAAATGTTGGGGGCTTTTAAATAACCTCTGTATATCCTCCTCCTTCCTGTTGCAACAGGACAATGCTGAAAGTGTTGCCAAGCCCTCCCAACGCCACCTCAGAGGATCTGCCACCACAACTGGCATATCTTTTCTTCCTCCCTCCCCTCCCTGGCTTTCTTACCCCAACTATGCTCACCAGGAGCATTTCAGAATGTTTGTGCTAAGGAAACAACTTGGCCATTGAAGTTTCAGTTCTTTTTGAGACAAAGTAGGAGTCCTTATGGCACAAAAGCATAAGAAATAGGAAACTGGAGGGGATTTTCTGAGGCCCACAGTCCAAGAAGCCATGCTTACTATGTTGCCAGTCTTTGATGGTCTCTGCCCTCAGGGAGCCTGTGATGCAGCTTTGGGTGCTGGTTTTCAGGAGTCCTCCCAAGCAGACACAGTGATAGCTCCCCCGCTTGGTCCTCACAGCAGTCCTTTAGAGGACTGCAGGACACATGAACTGGAGAGCTCATTGGCAGCCAGCTTTTTCTAGAGTCCTTGTGCTGTCCAGGACAATGAAGGTGTTTTGCACCACACAGCTATATTTGGGTCAAATGACCATCAGCTCTTGCCCATCATGAAATGTGCATCACCTGACAGCTCTGGGGCTACACTCTGTGGGAGCTTTTTATCTTCATGTCAACTTCAAGTTTCACCAAGCTCTAAGGTAACTGGAGACTGTGTGACACTTCCTCTGTCAGACATAACTCCACAGGCCAGTGGAGTTACATGGAGAAAAAGCAATGAACAGGGAAGAATTCAGGCCTATGTTCTGCCAGCTGCTGCTGTTTGGCAGCAGAGGTAGAAACCACCTACTGAGAACATGCGTGGGCAGTGGAGAGCCCCTCTTGCACACATGGCACCTACCAAGGGTGGTCACTTGCCTCTGCATCTGCAGGGCAGATGAAGGAACAAGGAGACACATGAAGACGACTCTGCTGTCTTTTGGGCAGCTGTGACTTCCAGCCCCATACCAGAGAATTCTCAAACCTCCAATGGCTAAACACCATGGAAATCAAGCCAGGGGGCAGAAAAGGAGATAATACCTCTCATGGGAAGTAAATAATTTGGAAGACAGGACCCCTATCCTACGTCTCTGGAGATTTCCCAGCCACAGCAAGGTGACTCCACAGAGGTCAGGACTCATGCAGAGCATGGATCAGAGATCCAAGATTGGCACCTAGGAGCAGCATGACGGTACCAGTAGGTGGGATAAGGAGCTTGCTAGGGTTGGTAGCCAAGGCACAGCATGGGGCTGCAGCAGTTTTGGGGGCAGCCTGGTTACCTGCACACAGGTAAGTGTTGCATTATGTTTTCTCATAGCTGAAGGGTATGAGAAGACTGCTGAACACTGTTTGGCTTGTTGCACAGAAAGCCACCTGGCTGGAGGACTCCCCCTGTCCTGCTCCCCCAGGAGTGCGAGCACCCTGAGGGGACAGATCTGATCCCATCACACACATCCTGAGCTGCAATTGCCATTGACTCACTTTTGCACAGATGGGCCCTGTGGTAACCATCTGGAGGGCAAGCAGCACCCCTGGCACCGGGGAACACAATGAGCTTTCTGGGGGAGGAGGCTGGTTGCCAATTTTCTTTTCTTGCCTTTTTTTTTTTTTCCCCCTTGCATCCACATTTCTGTGTGGCGTGTTGTGCTTTGTGCCTCTCTCTCCCACTTCCAGCCAGCACTTCAGTTCCCGAAATTACAGCTGCTGCGACGATGTTACAAAAACTGATATAAATATTGCCTCGGTGCCATGCCTGCTGGAGGCCTGCAACACAAATAAGAAACACCGTCTCCCAAGGAAGTCATGTGCTTCCCCAAGTGGCTGCGGTGCTGTCAGAGCCAGGAGGAAAACTTTCCGTCAGAGAGAGCGGCTGCAGCAGAGCAGATCCCTGCGCTCCAGCCGTCGCGCCTGAGCGGGCAGCGCTTGCAGATGTCTCCCTGCGCCCAGGCGCGTCACCCCGGGGCTTTCGGCAGAAGCCACCGGTCGCACAGAAACTGGGGAGGCCAAAATTTTTGGTGGCAGTGGCAGGAGTGGGACTTTGCATCCAGGGAGAGTAATGTTTTGCAGGCTGTGATTTATTTATTTTGTGGGGAGAGATGTAAATTCATGCTTATGACAGCTCCAGATGGCGGGTATTTTCTCATTACCTTGACTTCTTAGCATTTGCTATCCCTTGCCTATTAGACTGCACTGGCCTTAATTTAACTTCCGTGGTTCCAACCTACTGACGTCAGGGCTGATGCAGGAGGGGGTATGGAAAACACAAAGCCTTGATTTTCCTGTAGGGCGTTATGTTTAATGAATGATGCCCTGGGATGACCAGTGGAAGAGCGCTCACTTCTGCACAGCAGCCTGTGGGGAGCTGTGAGCCCGTATCCATTTCTCAGAGCAGCCTTCAGATGCTCGTGGCCTTTGCCAAAGGCTTTTGCAGTCGCAGGCACCCTTCCCACAGCAATAGACTTTGGATGATGGACAGCCCTTCCTCTCCAACCCCACAGAAAAGCCCTTAAATGGCTGCAAAGCTTGCAGCATAAAGGGTTATCTAAAATGTACTTTCCTGTTGTTGCCAAAGCCAGAGTTGTTCTGTTCCAAGTCCTCCCATGCCAGACAAGAGTTTGTGGGGGAAAAAACACACAAGTCAGTAAAGCTTTACAGCCAGAGGAGAGGGTGTGCCAAGATCTGTCACAGGCAAACTGATCAACCAGGTGCTCACATAAATGGGTTGCTGTGCTGTGTGCCAGTGACTAGATGGGAGGGATGTTTTGCCTGCTGTAACTACACAACGCACTCCTCGGGAACAGCTGAGCATTGTAAAGCTCTCCAACAGGGTGGTTTCATTTCGTCTTCATTTTAAAAATATCACTCCCATGCCATTTGCAGCGTAGATGGATGTATGAATGCACTGGAATATTATACTACAGCATGTGCACAAGAGTACCTGCCAGGACATCACCCTCAAGAAACCAGACTCTCAACTCTGGCCTTCTATACATAATAACACAACTGTGCTTCTCTCTTGTCATCTCACAGCTTTACTTAGGAACCTGCACTCTTTCCTAGGTGATCAAGTGTAGTCTTCCCCCTTCCTCTGCATCAGTACTTGTCTCCCAGGAATTCATCTTCCTCTTCCTGTGATGCTCTGCCTCACCAAGGCTGCAGGCAGAGTAGAGCAGGTCCTAGAAGAAAAAAACCCCAAACTAATAAAAATGTTATTTTTAAACAGAGGGAAATTTCAGAAATCTTCATTTGGTGTTTTTGCTTCCATATTTTGCTTTGGATTTTTTTTAAAAAACAAACCCAGTTATAATATCTGTCTGCGTGTAACAGCAGTTCTGATTACCACACACAGAGGAATATTTTAAGTTAATGCTGAAAACTCAGAAGGACCAGCTCTGAAATATGGTATGTGTACACATGTCTGTATGTGTAAAAGAGGGGCAGAGGCAGAGAGAGATAAAATGGCAGCTCTTCAGATGGTAGAACATTTGGAAGGGGATATAGGACCAGTGTTCAAAAGATATTGTTGCAAATGTTTCTGTTGCAGGGAGAAAAATACCATAGATGTATATATCCATACACATATTCTGCTAGAAAAACACAGCTTAGGAAATTTTACTCTTCTCTGGAAAATTGTTGTTGCAAACTGAAAGCCTAAATTCAAACTGTAGATCTTTACAAGCATCTACATCTGTGCTGGCCATCATAGGCTCCCTTTATCCTCCGCACAGATCTAGTCTAGGCAGTGATTCATCTCCTCCTACAGCAGACATGTAAATAGGTCAGATGAATCATGGCCTAAAAGTGCCTGCTCCCTGTATTGACTGCAAAGGGAGCTTGGGGTGATGGGTTTTGCCATATGTGTCTACACTGCTGATGTCTGCAGTGAGAGAAGATATATCCAAGGCTAGGTACAGAAACAGAAAAACATTTTATTTTGGTTTTGAGGCCTGACTTTCAAGTGCTAAATTATCCTTTACTTTTATGGAAATACTGCTGCAAGTCACTATCAGTGATACACAGTGTATCATTCAATACATTTTTTTTCTATCAGAATATGTGTCTGCCACTGCCAATTATATAATATGTATTTCTTGCAGTAAGTGTCAGATTACAGTAAAGTACACACAAGCTTGGGAAAACACATACATCTTTTTATACTCCTTTGTGAAGCTTTTCTGTTTCTTCAAGCAGAAATCTAACCATACCATGTAGTAACTGCAGCAATATATAATACCAATACTAATACTAATACTAATAATAGTAACTATTATGAACATGAAATCCAGGTTCCCACTCCTATTTTTACATCCAAATTCAAAGAATTCTGTTGGTTGGACACTAGAAACTGCCCTAGTTTCTTACAGGAAGAGTAAGAGAGGAGCCAAGCAAGGGCAGAGGGGGTTGTCATAAGGGTCAATATTCACAGTCTCCAGCTAAATTTATGTTTTGCTGGAGTTGAGGCCTTAAAAGATGAAAGAACATCTCTCAAAAATGGGATTAGAAAACTTCTCTGCTGGCCAACTGACCCAGGATCTGATAGGGACACAAAGACTGTGAAACTCAGATATTTATTTCAACCCCAAAAGAAAAGGCCAGGACATCCAAGCAAAGCCATAAGTACCTAGAGACTTAAGCAGGAAAGGCCATTTTAGACGAAACATTTGTCTGAATAAAATTCACCACAGGTGCCACATGCCTTGGCCACAGAAAGTTTCCTCTCTAAAGCAATTGTTTCAGTCTTCTTAAGCCCACCTACCCAAATAAGCCCTTGGCTTGGGGATCAATCTAATCTATCAGGCAATGAGGCTGAGATAAGAGATGTAACTTGAAGAGCAGGGAAAAGAGAGAGGAACAGAGCATGATTCCCCTTCACAGACTATCTCCAGATATCTACTCTCTTTTGAACAGCCACTATATCTAGACACAGGCAGAACAAGCAATATATTCAGTCTGGTAAGACTTGGTCTATCATTCTTGCTACATACTCACAGAGCTGCTTGAATTTTTCCCAGTGCATGAGTCTCCTTATAGTGAAGGCTGATTCCACAATACTGAAACTTTTCCGAGAAAATGACAATTGATTATAGTAATATAGTTAGTAGGAAGTTACCAAAACATGCTTAGCTTTGTTTTGCAAATTTTAGCTTGTAAATTTAAAACCAGTCCTCAGGTAGTGGGATGTCCATGGCAAGAACAGGCTTGAAGGTAACATTAAAGTTCCTGCAAAGGCCCAGCTTGACTTTAAGTAACTGCAGCCTAGTTTTGCACCCTGGCTGGCTGCAGCCCTCAGCTCCAGCGGGGCCCAGTTATCATGTATAGCAGCAGATGAAAAGGATGGTGCTGTACCATGGCTCCTGGACAGTATGGAATTATCTTGGATACATCAAAGGCAGAACCAACAAGCCGAAGAAAACCCAAAACACCTACAAGCAAAAGTAAAGGGTCTGTGCCCTGCATTTCTGAAGCACTTGCAGCAACGACGTGCTACAAGACACTTGAGATGCTCCTACCTAAATCCAGTTGGACTGAGTGGGTCTTAGTAGGTCCAGGTCTACTTTGTGCATAGATGAATATCCTTGTTTTACTGCTCAGCTGAGAAGCGTGTTCACAGAATATTGCATCTCAGCCAAGAAGCTAGACCAGACCACAGCTCTTTTCTGTATCCAGGGGGTGGTAATACATAACCCAGGCAATTCCGGCATGCTTAGTTAACAGTTGCTTCTAATTAATTAAGTGACATATGTGGACATGCAATATTTCAATCTTAATGTCTCAAATAATTTCAACATTACTGACACACAATGTTTCAAGTACACTCAATTACAAGATTTCTGGAATTAAAGACCTCCTAAATTTCATTAAAAGATAAAACTTCCTGTTCCAGTTCAGAACAAAAATATATTTTAAATGCCTGAATGTCTTGTAGAACAGCTTTTCTTCCTAATACAAACACAGATGTAGCGCATAGGCCAAACACAGCAAAACACTTAAGTACATCTTAACTTCAGTCGTGTAATTCCATCTTCAGGCATGTGCCTAAACCCTGTAATGGGCTCAACTCAACCAAACCAAGGTTGTACAATATCTGTTTGTACAGAAACATTTAAGCTGCCTGTTGATGTTGCATTTCTGCAACATGAAGTTGCAGTTTAACATGTTCCTACTGCAATTGCTTTTTGACCATTTCAAAGATAGTTTCCAGAGAGGGGTGTTGATTCATTTTTCAGTCCCAAGACTGACCTTATCTCTGTGCAAATGATCTGAGTAATTGTTTATTCAAGGAAATGTGCAATCTTTTGAGAAATGGCTTCAAATGTGGATTGTAAAACATTGCAACTAGTTGGTTTGTTAATGGCGGATGTTCTGGAGGGAAAAGGGAAATTGAAAGGATGAATCATTATCCAGATGAAGTTCAAAAGTGATTCAAAATTCATTTCATAATCACAGACGTGTGCCAAATAAACCCATCAAGCACAAGCTGCAGGCTTTTATTTTTGTGAAGTCTGCAAGTTTTTTCCTTAGCTATTCCCACTATAACCTTTGGAGTGTGGCTAAAAATAATAAATAAATAAAAAAGTTAGAAGAAATTATTGCCTTCTAAATGCTCCATATACCTGTCTCTTTCTACCGTGTTGTGCTGCATCCACAAAATTACTGTCAATGTGCACAGTGGAATACAAATACTTTTCCCTTTTGGCTTGTAATGAGCTCATGGATGGAATGAAGATAAAAGTCAGAGCAGCTGGGAGTGCATCAGGACTGCAACTCCTGCATGCACCCACAGCAAGGTCCCTGGCCCCTCAGCTGAAGTGAAAACCCTATGTTACAAAGAGCAGGCATGCACAGTATTTCTCTTACATGTCCAGATTCTCTTACATGTCTATAAATCCTGTCAGGGCTGAACAAAGTCCAAGGTAAAAACTATGGTCAACAGGTGCTCTCTCCTTTTGAGGGTTATCCATCCTCTCACACAATTCCACCTCTGGTGGTGTGTCCCTAACAGAACAACCCTACAGAGTTTTAGTTGTGCTGTTTAGGCTGTGAGCCTGCAAGAAAGCATGTTAGGACAAAACTCTGCAGGAAGATATCTCATCCTTGGTCTCTCTCTGGTCTCTCACCCATCCCTCTCTCAGCTGTAATCTTCACAGACTTTTGCAGCTACCATAGGAATAGTATGATCTTTCACTCTTTTCCTTTCAAGTCCTTTTCTTCAACAGTCTTACACTGCTTTTGATTTGCTTTCAAAACATCAATGGTTGGTTGCTGGGGGAACATTTACTGCTTCACTAATAGATTGGAAACTCATCCGGAAAGCGGCAGTGCAAACAAAACAGGAATTGATCTATCTTTTACATTAAATGATCATTTTTTTCAGAAAGACCCTTGGAATTCAGAATCTTCAGACCTGTAAAATATTATAGGTTGTTCAACTCATACCAAAAGAAAAGGCTCACTGGCTGTTGTTGAGATGTCTTCACCCAAGTGCGTTGTTTGCCTGGGACTCCTCCTGAAGCTCTGTAGTTCCTGTAATTTACACAAATAATTCCTTAGAGATGTGTATAAAACACAGTATAAAAAGCATGTTAGGAAACTATAAGAAAAATAGTGGTAAATTTAGGTTGAAGAAGTAGCCAATAGATTTTCCAGTAAGAGCATAAACATACTGCAAAGGCATCCATTGGAATACACAGGTGGAAATGGGTTCTTTTAAAGCCATGTCCCTTAAAATGTCATTCCATGGTGACTCCATGTCACCATCTTGTCAGCATAGGAGTTTCTAGCCAAGGATAATGAGAATCAAGTAACTTGAACAAATGGTTTTATAATGACCAATAAGCTGAATTTCTTTGCATTATACCACAATAATTTTTTACCAAGATCATGCATTCACTAAAAGCAAAGTTGATTTGTGGACATCTGAAGGAAAAAGTTGGGACAAGTAAGCAAATTGGAATGACATACTTGTTCAAATTTTCCCATTGGTAGGGACAATGTCTTACTAATACTTTTGTACCTGCTGACAGACAGAGTTCAAATGTTGAATCTCTAGCTCACTGACACTACATGTTCTGTTGCATTCAATGGCAATTATAATTTCTCCTGCCTGTTACTTGAAAAAACATTGAGACCTTTTTAAAAAATGTGGCTCAAAATAAATGCTTGATTTCTGGGTTTAAAAATTATGAAAACCCTTGGAATGTGTAGAAAGGCCAGTGTTGCAAGTGTTATCTAATGAACATGACTCTAAGGTCGTGTTTATTCTCACAAATACCACAGCTTTTCACAAAGGCAACAGAAATATGCATGTAATGCTTCAGCAATAACGCAAATTATGATCTAAACTCACTGCAGCCATGATATCTTTTAGAATGAACTCCTATCAGAACTCCTCATCTTCACAGCTCTGAAGGCTGCAAACATTGCACCTTTTCACGACTTTAACCATACCAAAAAAAGAAGTGCCATCTCACTGTAATAATGCTGTCTTAATTATGTACAATACTTAGCACTAGTTTTACACCAGATGAGTCATAGTAGAAGCTTGTACTTTACTGTTTGACTAAATCCCACAGCAGTTAGAAGTCCCTGCAGTGAGTGCTTACCAGCTTGTGCTTAGCTCTTTTCTCAGACCATGACTGCTGAATCCTTTGGGGAAGGCTGGTTTGAAGGGTGCTGCACTAGGATGAGCAGACACTGGCTGGAAACAAGGTCTCAGAGTCAGTGAGAACATGCCAGAGAAATGTCTTCAAAGCTGCTCAGGTGTCTGCTTCTCCAGTCTTGTCCATTTTAGTGAACTGGGATTCTAAAAATTACAGAGCTGGGTTTCATTCCTTTCTTTTTAAAAGCAGTTTATCTTCTGAGTAGAAAGGTGTTCTTTTTTTTTTCTTTTTGTGCTGTTTGTTGTAGCAATTAAGATGATACTAAACAGGTAACTGAAATGCAGTTATTTATGGAATCCCTCTTCACTTATGTTACACCATCTACTCTTTTACTGTTAAAAATAATCCCGCAGAAGCAGATACCTATCATTTTATGAAAAATTTTCATCACTTGGCTTTTCAACAAGACAGCATGATCTGCTGGGCCCTTCTTCATTTGTGCAGATTTTTTCTCCTTCCTGGGTTTTGGGGCTTGATGAGATCAGTGAAATTTCCTGGTAGGCACAGGATCTTTTTCCAGGTCCTCTTAATTGCTGATGCCTTGGAGAATACTGGCTATTCTCAAGTCAGATGTTACTTTGACAGTTCAGCTTTTTTCATCTGAAATATATGAATAATACCCCTTTTGAGCCTTCATAAATGGTGCTGGAAGCTTCAAAGGAAAAACACTTTTAGATAGATTTTTTTTAAAAAAGTTAAAGAGCAGATGGACTTGTAGCTGAATATACTGCAGTCTTCATTCACAGTCAGCAGGAGAGGTAGGTTCCAGCCTCTTTGAATCTCTGTTTGGAAGACCATGTAGGAACTTTAATGTCAGACATTGTGAAAAATTGGTCCCATCTGCCTCCCCTCCTTCACCCAACAGATACACAGAGAGCCTGAGTACCTGGCTATCACAGATCACTGGGAACACTGCTGAAGCATCTCTCTATGCAAATGACAAATATTCTACTCATTAATAATCTACGCATTAAACATCCCGGTAATGAATGCCCTGCTATGGCAACTTCCAGGAGACTCTTGATTAATTGGAAGAAGCAAAACACTTCATGTTGAAGTAACAGCTGGTTATGGTACTTACCAGTATCAGCTGATAGTCTAAAGACATACACTTCACCAGGAAGCATTCATTCCTGCACGTTATTTAAATAGAAGTTGGGTTTTTTGGTACCTCTGAACTGAGGTCTATTACATCTTGGCTATAGGGTCCTTCTAGTAAACAGTCAGTGTTTTTTCAAAGTCTTACAAAAAACTTTGCTCCGAAGAAACCCCAAGGAGCAGTGTGCACGCCACACTATTGTGTGATGCAAAAAGGATGCATCCAAGTGAAAGGACAAACAAATTTTTATGCTAACAAAAATATTTCATTTCCATTTTAGACAGGAATGCACTAAATAATGCATCATACTTGAAAGGTCACCTTTTGGTCTGCAAGCAGCTGCAGCAGCTGTGTTCCTTTGAGACCCTGCTCTGAGCACAGAACAAAGCGTGAGAGCTGACAACAAGCTTGGAAGATGCAGGTATGGGACAGGCTTCTGGAGGTCTCCCAGCAGCTACAGTTGAGAACCACTGCCAAATTTCCTTTCTCTTATTTTTTACTTCAATCTCAAATAACCTCCTTCTTTTCCCTCCCTTCCTAAGTAAATTAGTCATATGCAAAATATGAGAAAATTAACAGCCAACTCAGATTTTGACACCATGCAGAGACGAGTATCCATGGAGATTAGGGACCTCCTGTTCATCACTGATTTCCCATCACATTTGACAGGAAGGTACAACAAGCAGAACAAACTAGTCCCCAGAAAGGCACTCCATGGGGCCGAGTTCAGCTTAGAGGGTACTGAGCCTGTTATTCCCAAAGTATAAAGCAGGCAAGACCCACAGCTGCTTTAGATATATCCCTCATATTTGAGGCTTTCATCCCATAAATCTGGATGGAAGAAATTGATTGATTTTCACATATTATCTCATTATCAGGAACTCAGATATGAGTTTTGCAGCTGGGAGTCACTTTAGCTTTCTAGACTGGAGTGTTGATTATAAAATACAGACCTTAGTTTGGAGACAGTGATTTTGTAGGGGAAAGAACATCTGTGTCCATTATCATCCAGTTCAGAATCTGTCCCCCTAACAGGTAGGTCAGGGTGGTACAGAGTAGACATCCTGATCAGATCTGACTGTGAGAGGATGGTGGAGGAAGAAACATGTTGTCCTGGTAGGACTTTCGCGGTTGTATTTTCCGTAGATGCAATCCTGTTCCATTTCCTGAATGCCTAGATCAAAATTGCCTACAACCAGAATAGTTTTTTGTTTCAAATTAAATCAAACTAGCAGGGAGAGAAATAACAACTACAGAGGAAACAAACAAGGGTTTAAATCACTGTAAAGGCTATCTTGCATTGATGCATAGAATTTGCTTCTAGACCACAGCCTGGGGAACACTTTATTTTTAAAGGTTCCACACACAATAAACATACATCTAACCATATATACCACTCATCTTTCCTATCCAGAAAAACAAGCAAGTCTTAAAAAGAGATTGTGAAAAAAAACAACCAACAAACCAAACCAAATCAACTAATGCACAAGCATTGAATTAAGTATTAGAATTGCAGTGCTTAGGCATTCCTTAGTGCATCCAGATGTGCTTTCATCTCCTCCACTCACTCACATATCAAGATTGCACCGGACCTCCATGAAAACCCTCCAAGCTCTGGGATTGCTGTCCTTGATCCTCGTGATGTAGGATTCATTAATGCCAGCTGCTGCTGTTAGCTTCTCCCCACATCAGTGGCTCAGTGTCACCCCCAACCAGCACAAAACCCATGCCATGTGGCAAGGCCCCATGGTTAAGCAGGTGGCCAGCCTTGGAGCCACAGTGGGCACAGCAAGGTGGCAGCCATCAAAAAACAGAAAAGAGAGCAAGGGCCCATAGGGCTCTTCAAAGGAGTTGGCAAGAAAATTTTAAAATTTGCACTTAAAAAAACCCAAAAAAGCAGAATACTGCAGAGCAACCAAATTCACCATAAACTGCTCTTTACAAGCTGGAGGCAACAGCAGGAGTTTTCAGTCAGCCTGATCAAACTGAAGTCTCCCGATTGCTCATGTGCTTCTCTGGCACTGGCACATGAGGGCCCTGAACAGCATGTCCTACAAGTCAGGAGAGAGCCCCATATGCTTCTGACAGCAGCAGCCTTGTAACCCTTTTCCAGCCATGTTACCATCAGGTATGGGTCATTCCTGGAATTCAGTCTGCATCAACAGACATAGATACGACATATACTGAACCCATCATTTAGTAGTCACTTCAAAAGGGGCCAGGATATCACTGGCATCACTTAGATCATCAGGCCGAGCCCAAGCTGCACTGGCCTACATTAAAAAAAAAAAAAAAGTAAAGAAAAGCAAGTCTATTATCAGAAGGTTTAATTTGTTCAGCAGGAGCACACACCTCCTTTGCAAAACATCTGTGAATCTGGAAAATAGAAAAGGCTAAAGGCACAGACCAGTCAAGCACCATTTATTTAAAATGTGTGATCCCAAAAATAATGGAGCTAGATTTCTAGCTTTTGAGCTAGAAATTCAAGCCAGAAAGTGATAGCAGCCCCCTGGACAGACAGCAATCCAGGGTTTAATTCTGGACCTACAAACAACTAAATAAGTGCTCATACTAATGGCAAGAGAATGGGAACACACAGCCTTTGCACTCTGTGCCTTTTCTTCCAGTACTCAAAAGCCATGTCCTCTGGGCTTCCATAAGATGATTTTAGAGTCTTTAATGCAATATGAATTCACCAAAGCACTTGACATCATTTCAGCTGCTCTAAGTCACGTCCTTGGACTGCCTCTAAAAGAGCCATCCTATCTTCACTGACAGTGTGGGTAGCCTGGTAAGAGGAGGTTTCCAGTGCAGACTCCTGCATAATGTGCTTTAATTCAAGCAGTGACAATATTGCTCCTGCCCCCTCACCCTTCCACTCCTGCTCTTCCCCCCTTGGCAAATGACATGTTTTACTTTGGCAGAGCGAACTATGCCAAGTAAGTACAAACAGCCACGAGAGTGGAGTAAGAGTGCATCTCTGGGAGCAAAGCCACCCTTTCTCAGCTTCACGTTGGCGCAAGACCAAGTGAGCATCAATGTGTTCCATCCTATCTCCAGGCCACCACGGGCAGGAGAGCCCAGCCCAGCCGCTGGACTGCAGTCCCCACTGCTGCAGTGAACTCTACCCTTCACATCATATCTGCTGGGCAATTAAAATAAAACTGCATTAATTTTTTGTCTCTTGAGCATATTTTCAGAGCTGCCCCCTTTGACTTAAGTATTTAATGAGTTGCAACCCAGTTAACACATTTGCACACACTCCCAGACACAAAAACATACAGAGTTGCTTGCATATGGCTTTCCTTACAGTTCTGATAATCTCAGTAATTTATTCAGTTTGGCAAAGTTTGAGTGTTTTTCCATTTCCTCTGCAGAAGGGGAGCAATGTGATTGTTGCTGTGGTGATCCTTCCCTTAATATTTTTAGCCATAATCTGACTTAAAGTCATGACTGGCAGTGGAAAGTGTCATTTTTTTAAGGCACAATACCAAAACATTTCTGAAGAGCCTTTTATTTTTCACACTGAATATTACATATATATATCTATATATATATAAAAATACATGCGTGTGTGTATATATATATATATATATATATATATTCCTTGAAATTCACATTGATAAGTATAAACATGTAGATATTCCTTTATCATAAACAGGCTTGAGTTTAGCCTTTCTTTTGTAAGCCCTGTTCTCCTCCACCCACTTGGGCTAAATCTTCGCAGTTGGAACCTCTGTTCATTATGTTATGCTTTCAGAAAGGGACTAACTTACTCAGACACATCAATGCTGGCATTAAGAGAAGTTGCTTGTCTAATGCCCCCAGGCACTGGGATTAAATATCTACCCCCTTCCCTGTTACTGAGGTTAATGACTTCTCTGTTCTAAGAGAAAGGGAGAAAAGCGATTTCACGTTTTTCCTTCTTTTAAGAGGTTGCAGAGCCAGCAATCCTCTCAGTACTGAGACGACGCTGAGAGGAAGCTCCCTACCTTCATTTATGCCTTGATCAATGAAGCTGTTGGCAGAGAATACCGTGACACACATTGAGGAAAGGAGCACAAACCTGATGGAAACGGTGATGCTATTCCCATTTGTAGCATGGACTGCAGGCATATCCCTGCAGGGCTCTACGAAAGCAAGGGTGGTAGCACCACCCCACCAAACCTAGAGCTCTGCTGCTGCATGGAAGTTGTGCAGAGCACACAAGGAGCTGAGGTGGAGGTCCAGCCCTCGCGTGTCCTGTGCTTGTGTCCTTCCCTTCATTCCAAATAGGAAACTTGAGAGGACTAGGAATACATGTGTTCTGAAAGCCACAAAACTTTCATTACATTGCTTTTCCATAACCTGTTTCACAGGGAGTGAAATACTTAACACTGAATTATCCCATGGGACTAACCAGGGAAAAGGATGCCATGAAGTATGGATGAAAATAAACCCAACTGGGCCAACGGAAAGCTGTCCTCCCATTTAGTCATAGTTTCCTGAAAATTATAATTTGGAATTAATTTTTGTTTGTCATTTAAAATCCAGGATTAATCATTTGGGAAGGCTGACAATTCCGTTTCTACATTTTGTACCTCTGGTGGGTGTTTTCCAGCACTTAAAACAATTCCCAGATTATTTGTTTTTTGAGGTGCGGAAAAACAAGAGGCTGTTTATTTTCCATTCAGGCAAATAAAAAGTAACACTCCAAAATATTATATAACTTCTATCATTGCAACTAAATATGTTTGGTGTATCTGAATAAACGAGATTCAGGTATTTGTTCCTGAAATGCACCAAACAGAAACTACCACAATACTTTTCTTCTACAATGGATTGCAAATATAGATGATGTGGAATTATATATTCTCTTAATTATAATATGAAGAATTCCTAGAATCATAAGTAAAGAAACCCTTTAACAAAGAGATGAATACATATTTACACACACACATTTACTATGAACTACATTAAATATGACAGAATACTCCACCATGAGTATGCCCATGTCTTATATTTCACTCTGCTCCTCTAGAAATTTCAAAACTTTTAGGATTTCATCTAAAAGTTTTCAGTGAGTGCTAGAGACTTGTGTCTTCAAAAAAAACCCCTCAGTCTTCTGTGATCTTAACACTCCCAGGATAGACACTGGTAGATTCAGCAGCCTGTTGATGCAGCAGATTATGTCAGAGGTGCAAAAAAACAACCAGTGCCACACTGGTGGAATTAGGACACGGTTTTCTACCACTGCTTCAGTATTTCCCTACCATCACCACCCTGAGCACTTGGACTCTGCCTTCCCACTGATCATCCTGAGGCAAGGCATTGGACACATAACACACCTGTGGCCAGACTGCACCTGCACAATATTTTGGGGACACCGCGGATCCTCTGCAGTGGCTGAACAGTGATGCTGCTGATCCAGGCAATGCCAGCAGACCTCCCATAGCTGCAGCCAGCATGACACTGGTCCTCAACAATTCCCTCATCAGAACGCACTACACCTTGGGATATGTGCTGGCACGGGAAGGGCAGGAAGTGAGAGCTGATTTGCTTTCACCTTGGCCTCTTTAATGCCATCTCACACTGTGATGCCACCAGCACCTGAATAATCTGCCGGCATGAGTATCGTGTGCGTGTGTATTCTTACCCACACTGTGCCTTAGGAATGAAAGAATTCTGCAAAGAAAGGAAGGGACAGCTCTGGGAGCCGGGAATAAGCACATAGGGTCAGCTAAACCTCTTTTCTAGGTCATTTTAAGAGATTTCATTACACAGATCCACTGTTATTTAAACCCAGTCCCACTGTAAGAGAAAAAGAACCAAAATAAAGCAGACTGTTGGATGGAGCTCACCTGCTTAGAGCTACTTTGACACTTTTCATTAGATATAAATGCCAGGTCTTGCTTTCCATACTGACCCAAAGATGCTGGATCCTGGCTTACTTTCCCTTAGCATGCACCACACCTGACCTAACCAGTTTCATGGGACCAGGCTGAACCTCCAAAGTCTTGCTCTGCCACACTCAGCTTCATTTTCTCACAAAGCCTTTGAATTAAGGCAACCTTTCACCACATCCTCCAAGAAATTAGAAGATTTCCTACCTGCTGTAAGACAGTCTTATTGTGAGTGTGTATCACAACATAGCTTTTTACATGTTATTCTGCACCAGG